TGAGAAATCCGACCTTGCTTATTTGTCGTCTTGCTCCTCGTCCGAAGACGACGCACCTAATAACTCATGGTCGACACTCTACAGTGAGTCTTCTCTACACTTGCCGGTATGTTCGTCATACATCTTCAAGACGCGGCCGATCGAGCCATCGCGAGCTGTATTCGTCGTGCCAGCACGGAAGAGGTATCGAAAAGACATCATCTTCGGTCGAATCGATCGCCCCCTACGCACGCTATGGGACGAATCTGAGGACGAAGACCCAGCGCCCCAGTTCTCGCAATACAGTCGAGTGGCGAAACGCATAATGAGCAACATGGGGTACGACCTCACTCGCTTGGAGGGCCTGAATTACGGCCGAGGACGCAAGACGGTCATCAAACCATCCTACGTCCCCAAAGGGAAGCCCTCAAATTACTTCAACAGGACTAGGAGAGGCTTAGGCTACTCCTCCTCCTCATCGGAGTGTTGTTTTTACGTCGACGAGGATTCCGATTACGCATGTTCAGGAGATCAGTCGTCAACAACCTCGGCCTGGGACTCCGACGTTAGCGTAAGGGATCTGTTCGATGGCCTTACAGTCAACATGGCTACAGTAGACCCCGCCGGAATGGCAGAGGACGAACGACTTCCACTTTACGACGAGACATGGGATCGCCATGTTAGCGCCCAGTGGAACAGTCGCTTCGAACAGCGCGAACCACCAACTGAAGACGAAGTCCTCCAGGTGAACATGGGTACCGAGGCGAATCCCAAACCCATATTCATCAGCGGCAGTCTGCCTCCTCAAGAAAAAGAGGATCTCATCGCCCTCGTACGGGAATACATTGACGTCTTCGCCTGGAATTACGAGGATATGCCTGGCCTGGATCCGCGGGTCGCCACGCATCGCCTCAACATCAACCCTGACGCCAAGCCAGTCAAACAACAGCAGAGGCGGTTTCGCCCCCAAATCATGGAGGCGATCGAATCTGAAGTAAAGAAGCTGATCGAATCCGGCTTCATCAGAGAGGAGCAACACCCCGACTGGGTGGCGAATATTGTTCCAGTCTTGAAGAAGAACGGCAAGATCCGCATCTGCATCGACTTTAGGAACCTCAACGCCGCGTGCCCTAAAGACGAATTCCCTCTGCCCATCACGGATGTCATCATTGACAATACGTGCGGATTCGAGAGGATGTCCTTCATGGACGGCTTCTCGGGGTACAACCAAATCAAAATGCACCCCGAAGACGAGAAGCACACTGCATTCAGGACCCCCATGGGGGTGTACTGCTATACCGTCATGCCGTTCGGACTCAAGAACGCTGGCGCAACCTACCAACGAGCCATGAGCATGATCTTTCGAGATCATTTGCGAAAGACGGTCGAATGCTATGTGGACGACTTGGTCGTGAAGAGTCGCCATAAGGAGGATCACCTCCAAGACTTGAAGGCTATGTTCGAACTCATGAGGACTCATCAGCTCAAGATGAATCCTACCAAGTCATTCTTGGGAATGTCTAGCGGTAAATTCCTCGGTTTCGTCGTCACGACGAAAGGGATCCGAATTGATCCAGACAAGGTGCGAGCTATTCAAGAGCTCCAACCACCCCGAAATCTTAAAGAGCTGAGAGGCCTTCAAGGACGACTGGCTTATATCCGAAGATTCATCTCGAATCTCTCGGGCAAGTGCCAACCCTTCTCTAAGCTGATGAAGAAAGGTACCTCCTTCGTCTGGGATGAGCCATGCCAAAAGGCTTTTGAGGAGATCAAAGCTTATCTCTCAAATCCGCCTGTCCTTGCGGCGCCAATCTCAGGAAGGCCATTCCTCATATACATACGGGCTATGGAACATTCTCTGGGTGCCCTCTTAAGATTCCACCTTTATCACCAAACGAAGCCTTAGACGAGCCTCCAAATTGATCTACTCCTCCAAATAAACCCTAGATCTGGAACCTGGGCTCTGATACCACTTGTTGTGCGCAGCGGAAATTTCGGCAGAGTTTCTGGTGCATAATAAGAGAGAAAGATCGATAAGAATTCTTGTTTCTCAAAGGGAACAAGAATCTGAAAGCCTAATATCCCATCAAAGTGGGATATTAGCTCTTCCTCTCGTCAGCTCTAGGACTACGCGTCGGTCTCACCAAGGAGACAAGAATCTGAAGCGGATATCTCAACCAAGTGAGATATCGGCTCTTCCTCTCATCAGTTTCTAGGACTGCGCGTCGAGGGATCCTAAAACTATTACAATGGCCACAAACTCAAACAACCAATTTTACGTGGTTCGGCAAACTGCCTACGTCCACGGGGCAAGGAGGGGGGTCTACTATTAGAGAGAAAATACAATAGGTTTACAATCTCACAAAATAAACCCTCAAACTAACTCTCTAATCTCTCACAAAATCTCTCTCAAAGGAGGATGCACAAACCCTTGCTACAGCCGAAAAGCCTCTGAAATTTTTCTTCTCAAAAAACTTGCGCTGCCTTTTCTTCTCTGCACCCAGCCGCCAAAAAGAGTTTTCTCTCTCCCCTCTGCATTCGCTCAAAACCCTATGGAGACCAATTAAAGGCTATATATAGCAGAGGAGATACCGGGTCGTGGGCTCCGTTCACATCCTCACGCGGAAATGAGATGGGATAACTACCAGCAGTTAAAAGCGATATCTTCAATTCACGTGGCTTGGGCTTCACGTGCTTCTCTTACGCTCCTGGTCCCCACGCCATCTTCTCACACGTTCACATTTTGCTTGTTTGGTTCAAAACAAGAAAATAGCTCATAACTTTATAGAAAATAACAAGATTTGGTAGGTTTTTAATTAAATATGGTATGTGTCAGATTTCTGGTGATTTCCTCTTATTTTGAGAGGAAATTGTTTTTTGTAAAATTTGGTAGGTTTTGATATTTTATAGAAAATATTTCTGTAAATTTTTTGTTGAACCAAACACAATTTACAAAAATCTCTGGAAAACTTTTAATTATAAATTTACCATTGTCAGATGTTTTGAGAAAAGTTTTCTCAAAAAGTGTGCAACCAAACAGCCCCTAAACATGTTGTGGTATCTCTCTTGTCACTTAATAAGAATAACTACAAACAATCTAAAAGTGTCTTGATACTTAGAAATCTTGGGACAAGAACATCTTGGGATACTTAGAAATCTAAAATTATTAGTATAAACCCACAAGAAAGATCACATTGTGAGTACTCAATTAGGAGATATGGCTTCATTTTGCATTTAATGTATGTTGACATAATGTTTCATTCATGAAAGAGAAAGGTAATTACCTGAAACCTCTTTTAATTTGTTGCTTGAAGAAATCTTTAAACTCTTTAAGCTAATTATGGGTTTATCCGCGGAACCCATAAATCTTTAAACTTCTAATTATTTTTGCCATTTGTGTCCAAATATCCTTAGAAGAATGCGGTAATTATTAACTCAAACAGAGGAGATGACCCCACATAAAACTGAACAGAAGAACAAAATTCATGTAACCTGCTACCAAATTTTGTAACAAAGGTTCTGCTGTGTTTTAGTCCTCCCTTGCATACTACACCTTCAAATAATTTTTTTTTTTTTGAAAAAAAATGCATCCTAGAAACACCATACATTGAATTTGAATCTGAAGATCTTTGATATCATCCTGAATCTTTTTCACATTATAAACATTGATGTATTTTATATTCTAGCCTGGTCATTAGTAGTTCACTGAAGTGTAATAAGCACACATCATTGTCCACTTAAGCTCTATAGAGTGACTAATGACTTGTTTTCCTTGTTTCTTTGTGTATATTTTATCTTTCACTTAACTCTAAATATCTAAACATCATTATCAAACTTGAGAATTTTCTTTCTGAACACTTTCCTAAGTAAAAAAAAAAAATTATCGCATTTAGGGAACATTGAAGTGGGTGAACCAACTCCTGCTAGATTCAGTCGGTAGACTTTTCAACTGAATCTCTTGCACTTTAAAATATGATATGATATGCAACTTAATCTTATGATCTTAGCTTATGTCATCTCAATTAACAGTTATAACTGTATATTCTAATAGTAATGGCCAATATGAATGTGCCCCAAAGGGAGTTGGAGGTCCTGCTTCACTTTCTTGGGAGGTGGGTCCCACAAAGTCAAATTAGGGTTTGGTACTCCTAACTTTGTTGGACACCTACACCGGCTTAAGTTTGATGTATGAAGAGAAAGGGTGAAAATGACTAAAATTTAAGAAGTTACTATGAATTCTTACTTATTATTAAAAAAAAATTCCATGAATTCTTTGTTTGTATATGTACAACTCGTCGTAGTTCCTTTTTTTTTAAATGAAGGTTTTTTAACTAAAAATTAATATAAGATAATTAAGTGAATGGAAAAAAAAATTTATGATGAATCTTTATAAATTAATTCAAAGTATATGATAATTTGTACAAAAGTAAGAAGAAAAATCCATAGAGCTAAAAGTCAAGCTACTTTGACCAATTTCAACTGCCAAAACCTTGATTAAGATTTTTTTTTTACTATGAAAAGAAAAAGGGGGAAAAAACTATATCAAGATCAAGTAGCAATTACGTACACCTATAACTCTTGACTATTGTTCATTTTGGGGCTAATTAAACTCTGACTACTGCTGAGTGATGCTTACAATTGGAGATGGGGAAGCAAACGCCAATTTAGGACATGGACTTGCTTAATTATTTGTTCCTCTAGAAGGCAAAATCCTTATCCTGTATTAAAAAGAAAACAGTGGGATTGACAATGAGATGATTTGGGAGTCAAATGGTTTGGTTTTGGTCAAGTTTGGATAATCCAGAGATTAGTCAAACTTCTCTTATTATTATTTTTTTGGTAACAGATTAGTCAAACTTTGTGCTAAATATCCATATCATTCTAGATAATAAACAGGGAGGTCTTTATTGATTTGTTACTAATTGCTTATGGGCCATCGCTCAAAATATAAATGATTTTATGAAGTGTAGAAACAATGTTGAAATGTCAAAGAAAATACTCCTATATGGTGTCAACTTCAATGGCATGAAATGAGCATCATCATTCATCCCCTTCCTTCAATCAATTTCTGGTAAAGAGAAGCATAAGAAGTTGGGGGAAGAATACAGATTTGAACTACATTATCTATGAAACTATTCAAAGAATTACAAACGTGATGTGCAAATAATACATTCATGGGTAAACATAGTACAACTTATATCCGACCGAGGAGGAAAAACAACAAACCTACAAATACTTCATTCTGATCAAAGGATCCTTTTAATCCAATCCTGACATTTATACATGTTAGAACCTTGGAGGGTTTGATGGGATCCTCACAGCTCCAGGCATTACAGAAGTAGTATGTCTTTTCCTCATATAAACAACTGGACCGCTGATGAGTAGCAGACCAAACATAATCATCTGTTGAAATGGAAAGGAGGAGGCTTTGTGTCAGAATATTACTAAGCGAAAGACTCGTATGGCAAAAGTTGCAATCGCTAGAAACATGTGATATGAAAATCAGGGCTGAAAGTTGAAGGTAGGTTATAGAACTCGAAGTTTGGAGCTCATAGACATGAGCATATCGTATGTAATACTAACGTTCAGTTTATACATTTATGCCTAGCAAAGTAAATTATTACTGTTCAAGCTCCAGACTTTGTTAAACCCTATTTGTGCCTACAATCATATTTTCTTATACCACTGGATAACCATTTTCGATTGCATATTCTTCATCATATGTCTTTTGTCAACCTCTTTCATTCATATTATTGAAAATTATTATTTAAAATTATATGGTGTATATGTGAGAATATGTTTAATCACAACTTTTATGTAGGGATAACTTTGTAAACTACGGAAAATCATCATTGTTATGTCCATAGAACAATAAAATATAAATTGAATATATATGCAGCAGTGCCGAACTCTAGACTGAATAATAGGGCCATAAATTGAAAACCATGCAACACTGAACAATGAAAGGCAGGCAAATAAATAATGATCGGAAAAAGCAGGTTTCCATACTTAAAATCCATACCTCAAAACCAAGAACAGACAACTTTTCTTCGCCATCCACCGGAACACAGCTCCTGAAAGTAATATAGCTCTGCTTCCCACCTTCTGATGCTGATGAATCATCCAATAATCTTCTCCATTTAAGATTGTTTACAGCCTTCATCAACTGTTTGTGAACTGCTGCATTTGCCTCAAGGCCTCGGTTAGAGTAAAGCCTCCGTTGTTTCTTATCATCAGTCTCTTCCTTTGAACTTTCTTCAATTTCTACACACTTTAAAGGCACACGATACCCAGTTTCACTGCAGCGGTACTTCTCATCATTCTACAGTGAATCCAAACTCATCTAATCAATAAAAATAATATATCCCAAAGACCTGTGAGATCGTAAGTACACACTAAAAGATAAAGCATGATGCTCTAAACTTGAACTTCATTTGATGCAAATTTAAGGACTTCCTAACTGCCAAAATGGTCACTTGAGTGCCATTCCTGCATTTACTTTACATTCATCCATTCAGCAATCTGTTGGAGTCCAAATTTGCCAGATAGAGTAATAATGATTCTCAGTATAACTTCACTTGATGCATGCCATGGGTACGGGTACCAGTACATGACTCGACAAATTTGTAGAAGGTAGGGTACAGGGCTATATAAAATATTTATATACACACATATTATACATTAGAATTAATAATTTATATGAGAACAATGATGAGAATTAAAATTCCTATTAACATTTTTATGTTTCTTTTATTATGGGATTATAAACTGGAAAATCACTAGTTTTTGAACTAGACATCCAAACGACGCTTCAAAATTATAATTCGAAACCTGACCAGTGTCCGATGAGTTTCAAGAAGCGGATGTGCAGTGTAGATATATGTCCAAAAAATGTATGAGAAATGTTTTTAAATTGGCCCATGTATTATATAATTGAATACATGCCCAAATAAATGTATGCATATATGCAAGAAGAGACCAATGAGTTTGGGCTCGGGTATGGGTACGTGTTGTGTACGACTTCAGACTAGAAGTACCCAGGTAACATAGCCTTTTAGAGTTCATTTAATTATTTTCTCACTGTAACTTCCCCTCCAATTGTTGCAACGCATGAAAGAGATGCCATATTAAAACAATCAGGTGCATATTGGTACGCACGCACCTAAGTATTGATCCAAAAATTTCAAGACGTAGCATCATGAACACACAATCTAACTTGAAGAAATCACATTCTTGTCAGAAGGAAGGAACCGGTTTTTAGCTTTTCTCACTAGTTAATATCTCATGATCCAAGCACCTTTTACCGATTTGATAAAAAATCCTATATGGAAGCGCACATGAGCGTATACTTCTCAAGGAATTCGGATTAGTACCAAAACCCAATATGCACTCATAATTGGACTCAGCAACGCTAGAGTCTCTCCAGTGTAGTTTCAGAGTCGGATCAAATTAGGCTTTTCTCTTCCGTGAATTTCTTTTTGCATGTGAGATTTGGGATGCTTCGAGATTAGAGTTCGAGAGAAGCTCCCCACCTCTTGCACGCCTGGCAACTTTGAAAAGCCAAATATCTTCTCCTACTACGGCGATGCGTGGCCACACGCCTTTCTATTTATCTCTGCTGTTCTCAATGTTGGCATCAGCATAAGTCAGAAGGCCGGAAATTACAATGTTTCACATACCTAAATCCATAATAAATGAAGCCTCTCACAGGATAAACATTCATTTCTTATGGAAATTTATACAAGAAACGACATATAACGCTCAATTATTCCAAGTCCATAAGCTCAATATTGTTATCCAAATATGAAGAACTATGAAAAACAATAATAAACTAAAATTCGATTCTCATTCAGAAAATTGAACATCCCTAACAAAGGAAAGAATAAAGAGTAAACCTTTTCGGAGTAGGCGCAAGGGAGGCAAGGGCCGGAGGGCGAGCACTGGAAAGAGGCGTTCCCCTTCGTCTCCGTGAATCCCAGCAGCGATCGGCCCCTTCCTCCTTCGCCTCCGCCGGCGGCGGTGGGGGATTTCGACGACGTAGGCGTCGTCAGTAGAAAGACAGAGGACAATAGAAACCCTAGTTTCAAAGCTCTCATGCCTTTTTTTTTTATCGTCGCTTTGGGAGACGTAAGATCTGGATCCAGGGTCTTCTCTCTCGCGGGAGGCGAGAGCAGTAAACGGGTCGGGTCGGGTCGGATCCGATCGGGTAAAGAGCCTTTTTCTTTTCTTTTTTCTATTTTTTTTAATTATTAGTTTCACACGATTTGGGCTTACATGCCCTCGCTCGTCTTGACGACATGTATTTAGGGCCCGTTTGTTTGCACGAAAATAATTATGAAGTAGCTGAAGTAAAAGAAGTAAATGTTATTTCTGTTATTTCCAAGCAAAAAAATATGTTTGGTTCTTTGAAAAACTTACTTCCATTACTTTCTTAAATGCTTATGTTGCGCTTACGTGTCATCCTTACTTCCAAAATAGTTTTCCAATCCTTAATACTCAGAAGTAGCTCGGAAGTATGTCATCCTTACTTCCAAAATAGTTTTCCAATCCTTAATACTCAGAAGTAGCTCGGAAGTAGTTGAAATACATATTAATTAGGAAATAAATAACTTTTCAATCCTTAATACTCAGAAGTAGCTCGGAAGTAGTTGAAATACATATTAATTAGGAAATAAATAACTTTTTTTTATTAATATTTCCTTTATCGGTTATTTCTAACAGATTTTTTTTGATAAAATTACTTCCTAGTAATATTTCCAAATGTTATCCAAACAAAAAAAGTAAATGAAGAAGAATAAGTTCTACTTCCATTACTTCTAAAAATATACGAAACAAACAAAAAAAGTGTTATTTCCACTACTTCCTACTTCATAGTTTTGAAAGTTACTTCTATAACATATTTTTTCTTTCTAATACTTCCATTATCCAAACGGGGCCTTATCTTAGGTTTGCTCAAATTAGCACTTTGGTATCATTTATTATGCAGACGTGATAATTTTCACCTGAATATTCTCATTAGAATCAATTAACAAGGGATTCCATGCTTTCAACTACCAAAATGTAGAGGTTTTTCCACTATATATTTTAATCACAATCATTGATTTGCCTAATGTACAGTTGTGATTTATTCTAAAAATAACACTCACTAAACCCTATAAATTGCACTTCTTTCCTAATTTGCACTTAAAGTCAAATCACAACCGTTAGCTACGTAAATCGACGATCGTGATGCGAGTAGTGGCCCTCCACTATTTTTTGTTTATAGTGGATACGAATAGGGAATATTCTGCTATAATTTTTGTGCGTGCACAATAGAGGGTATCAAAGTGCGAAGTTTGAACAACTTCTTAGGATGTATTTAGTGCTTCGAAAAACAAGTTAGGGTGTGTAAGCGCAAAGAGAGTGGAACTGTATGGTATTTAAGTGCTATTTAGCCTTCTTTTAAAAGGAAAAATTGCTTCAAGGCCTCAAAATTCAAGTTTCAATATGCCCCAACCCTTCACATTTTTTAATGTGTTGCAGCCCCCTTTTTTGGAAAAAACTGTGTCCAGGGTGATCTATAGTGATGCCTCTAAAAGAGGACTGTGATGTGCTCTTATGCAAAATGAAAAAGTCATAGCACATGCTTCAAGGTAGTTAAAGCCTTATGAGCAAAACTATCCCACTTCTGACCTGGAATTAGCGACAGTGGTGTTTGCTCTCAAGATTTGGAGACATTATTTATATGGTATATATTGAAATAGCCTCTAAACTCATTAAAAAATAGCATGAAAAACAAAATAGAGGGGTAAAATGGTCAATTTGCCTCTAACTGGTAGATTTGATGGAATGTTTCCCTTAAATCTAACGTGATACTTAACTTGAAGGACCATTTTGCAAGATCCTATATGATTTTAGGGACTAATATGCAGTTATTAAAGATTTAAGGGACTAATACTATAAAGTCCTAAGGTAATTTGGGGGATAAATATCAAAATATGAAGATGTGAGGGGTTAATACAAAATACCTATGATTTTATGGTTTAAGATTGTAAGGACCATGAAATTTTGATACTAGTAAAAATAAAATATTCTGGTATTTTAAAATATTCAATTATTATTATTTTTAAAAGAGTATTTGTATTATCTCGGCCTTCTAGAATTTTCTATGATTTAAAAATCTGATTTTATATTTATTTAATAGTTTTAATAATTATAAATTAATTAGTTACAGTGAAAAATTTTAAATTAATATTTGTTTTATTATTGTTATTGTTAATTATTTGTAAGAGTTATTCCCTAATGATTTCTTTTTCCCCCTATTATTTTACTAATTAATCCTTAAGTATTTCTTTAAACCCTAAACTAATCTCTTTATATCTCTCTCTCTCTCTCTCTCTCTCTCTCTTTTCTTTCATCAGCCGCCACCCCCTTTCCCTTTCTCTTTCTTCTTCGTTCTCCCTCTCTGAACCCATCAACACCACAATCGCCATCTTGAGCTCCTTCAATCCCTAGCACCACCATTCACCCTCGAACCACCGGTGAACTCCTCGACCAACTTAAGCCTCCACCCAACTCCCCGCTTGATCGCCCAAGCCCCGACGAGTCCCACGCCGTCGAACTCTTCACCTCGAACCCGCAGCCAGCCCTCGTGCCCTACCAGGCCACGAACGCCTCCCCTCACCCCCCTACCACCTCGCCGTCATCCACCTCCGACGACGCCAACGCCGAACCCCTAGATCCACTCCGTCAACCCTCCAAGGTTCGCTGCCCAAACCACCGCACCTCCCCGAGCTCCGCCATTTGCCGTCAAGATCGCACGCCATATGTTCGATGTTATGCCAACAGCCCCCTTGAACCCGTTGAGCCCTCGTGATGACAACTGTCGTTGTCGCCGTTCCCAAACATCGCCATCACCCTCTCGACGGCAAGCATTTTTGTCTTGCTCTTTGTTGGATTCGTTCTCATTATTATATGCAAGCATATCTTTTCTCGAATTCTTTTTTTAAAAACTTTTACCTTCATGCAAGCATTTTATCTTGTTTTTTTTGTTAAATTCTTTCTTCAATTCATATGGAAGTTTTTATTTCTTGTAGAAGTATGATGCATACTCTGGTAGGTTTCAGGTGACTGCATTGTTACATAGGTGTGTTCAGAAGTATGTATATGGAGGATCTTATGTGTATGTGTTAACGTGATGTGTTAGGAGTGGGATCAGTAAGTGTAGTTTAGGGGTAGTATAGACTATTGTTCGGGGACGTTATTTAATTGTATATTTAGTAGCATATATAGTTCAAGTTAGAGTGTAGTTTCAAGTATCACCTAATATATATTATATCAGTCAGAATACAATAGTTAGAATATCTTAAGATTTAGTGAGCCTGCAATGGGTTCAGTAATACCAGTCATTCATGGAGTACTGTTGAGGTTGCTCTTGTGGGTTAAGTTCGCCACATAAAGAACAAACATAACTTGTTACATAAATCATATTTTTTGAAAGAGGATATAAACTGTCTGCAGCTTGTTGTTTGGTGCCAAACATCATTGTCCTTACATAAAATAAGTTGGTCTATTCTTTGGTGAGTCAAGGATTGGTGGTTTTCTTCATATTACAGGACATGGGACACGTGCTCAGTATCTGGGAAGTTTACATGCTTGATATAGAAACCCTTCCAAAAATCTGACAATGCAACATAGGCATATTTCGGGAAATGCTTATGCTACGTACTAATGAGCATAGATACCTCACCCTAAAAATGTGGACTAAGGTAATGCAAAATTCCCTAGGCATTGAAGGAGTTGAGATTTTGTTTAGATATCAGATTTATTTGCAGAACCTTTATTCACATCTATGGCACACTTAACTAATGAAGTGAGGGAAATCACATTCCCTAAATATATGTCTCTGATAAGTTGGTTAAGCAAGGGGTTTGAATGAGTTAAATGTGCATTTACTAGAACCAAGCATTAGCATTTTAGTGTCTGCTAACACTTTATGCCAGTTTCCATAGACGTATTTAACTACTTAGGAGACATTTATTTTCAAATGCTTTTGACAATTAATGTTTATGCAGACTAATGGGAATGAGATATATAATGATCATGCTGTTAAGGTTGCTAAACAAACTAGAGGCGGAATGGATGAGGAAATTGAGGGTCTTTGACTACAAGTGGAAGTACTAATCAATTTACTTGATCCTTTGTGTTAATTTCTATGTTACAAAATATTGTACCATCAAGTGCCTAAAATGGGCAAGACTGGTCTGGTATTGATAATGGAGTTCAGCGGAATTATCATGAGTAGATTAAAAGCCGGTTATACATATAGTACTTATCTTGTTGGTTACTGTGTTTGACATGCATGACTTTTAAAAAAAAAATTGTTGCTTGATCACCTAGTGCAATCCAATAGGAGAGACTGTGCATGAAGACGACTCCTGTTAAAAATATGATTTATAAGCGTGCTTTCATAGCATGACTATGTTCTCGATATCGACATCCCGATATGAGATTTCTTCTTGGCTATTTACTATTATAGCATCGACTAGACGATGCACCTATCTTGATTTGGACATGTTCTGGGTCACGGTTATTGTCATAGTTTTACAGAAGTCGTTCCACGGTAACTCTGTGGTTAGTGCACAACATTTCATGCACAGTCATATAAAATTTAATCGACAAACACGGGGTTTATAAAGGGGAATTAGATGAAGAAATGTAACATGTATATAAACGGGCATGTACGCATTCCTGATATCCTGAGTTATATATATACATGGGCCAAAGAGCCAATTCCTGACTTGAAGCCGTGTTCCCGGGACGGTTTACGGGGAACCGATTTATATACATGAAAATATTCTTCTCTAATTCAAATAACATGTAAAATAAGAATAATGTGCTTATAGGCTTTGTGATAGATTTGGCATGCACGACATGTTCTGGATGAGGTTTTGATGATGTATATTTGTATTGTTGTGTATAGAATTTTGGGAGTTAATATTTAGAGATTTACAATTTGAGATATATAGTATATACGAGGGTTTCCTTGTTTGGATTATTACCTCGACGTACTCATCTCTCATGTTGTGGGTTTCTAAATCTTACCTTCCTTTAGTACGTAATTGATATCCATGTTTAGAAACTTCCTTTATCATCTTTAATTGAGTTTTCATCGTATTTTGGTTTATAAGATAGGCATTTTCTTTTATCACTGAAAATTTAGAATTTATCTTTCATTTATATCTATCACTTATACTTACACGCGCACAATTTCCTCATTTTACATGCTTGCTGGGAGTTTTCTGACTCCCCTGGGGTTTGCATGCCCCAGACTTGGGAATTGTTCTTTCTTCGCAGGACCAAGAGTACTTTAAGGATTAAGACCAGCGATAGTGATCACCTTCTCTCTCTTCACTCTCTCAGCTTCAGTTATTTAGTCTTTCTTGTAATCACTTGTGGTACTCCAGACTAAGATGTATTTTCCTCTTTCCTACTTTGAAAAGTTGTGGACATGTAAGAGAATTTGTCTTTTCAGAGTTTCTTTATCTATCTAGTTCCTTTGTTATTTTAGTTGCATGCTCTATGTAATAGTTCTTTTAGCAATATATCTGTATACAGGATGATCCAGAGGCGTGAATGTAACCGTATGGTTGCATTGCCGACCGAGTCACGCTCCAAATTATCACGTTTTGGACTCGGGGCGTGACAAAGATACTAATATCTAGAAGAATCCTTTAATTTAAGGTAGCCCATCAACTTGTGTGCTCAACATTACAGTAAAATGGGTGCATCAGATGACGAATTTGAGGATGAGGGAGCCAGAAGATGTCAATGTGGGGCAATATAATCTTTCATATGAATCTTGATCCAGAAGATTATATGGCTACTTCAGAGTTCTACGAAGATTCTTATTTTCCTTCTTTGCATGTCAATAAAATTACCAACGCGAAGCACGAGATACTAGTGTGCATGGCTACATTATTTCTTTTTAATTTTAATTTTATTTATTTATTTAAGCCCACTGCAAATTGTAGCTCCAAGTTTTTAAATTTTAAAAATGAAACAAACAACTACAATTGCATGCAAGAATTATCGCAATAACTACAGTTGCATGCGATTGACATTTGCATTGCAGTACTAATTGCATGAGCCAAACAGTAGTTTGATCTAAGCAAAAGAGACTAGTGCAAATTGTTCAACCTAATATAGGTAGTGAACGATTAACCCATTGATTTTTCTCCGAATCAGGACCATTGAGGAGGCGATCGAGAGAGCCAACAGTACAAGATATCGGTATAATGACCAAAGACATCAACATCGCCAACAAATGTTCCTTTTGGTGGGAATAAGATAGAGTTGTTCGAGAGAGAGATCGGATTGCATGCCCTAGATATGTATAGTGCAGACAAGCTCTCATAAAATGTACAACGAACGTTTCGAGTCCTGATTGCATCAAATGATCATATATTCTCTGATATTTCAAGCATAAAGTGAAGTAAAATTGAATCTCAAGCAAGCTGACCAAGAAATTTCAAGTGACATTCAAATCATCCAATTAATCTTTCCCCAAATATCTATTGCAGATTAAGAATCATCTCAGAACTGTCAGCATGCGGTTTTAGTGTTGCACACAAACAGGGGTTGAAATTGCAGAATTGCTCACATATAGGCATTCTGCAAAAATTCGGACTCTCCATCACAAAGCTGTTCTTTAGTGGCCCAAACATGATTACATGAAAGCGTTTGTAGACATACGGCATAAACTATTTTTTACACTACTATTTTTAGCACCTGACATCCGTTGAGCGCCTGCTCTAGTTTGGTTGAGATATCACAAGAGAACCACACAACAAGTTTAACTGGAAAAAGTAAAGTTTAAATTGAAAAAAATAGATTTCCTCTCAAAGTCGAGGGCAAACGAGTAAAGCTTTTAGAAGGTAAACAAGAGATTTGACAAAAAATAGTTTAGCGGAGGTAAGTATCTATACCTGCACACTACAAGGGATGCATCTGCAATTGACTCTTCATAAAATGGACAAATTTCCACCAACATTTCCGGCTTAAACAAGGAAAACGAATCAAAATTTAAGCCAGAATACCAAGATATTTCGAGCAATGACATCCAAATCATCTGATTAATCTTTTCATATATCCATCACACACAGGCAAAGAACCAGTTATTGCATCTAGCAACTGCAATTATTTATTGAAAAATACACATTAAATTTTATTCCCTCTCTTGCAAATAATCATGAAGTACGTGCTACACGTGCTTAGCAAAAGGATCTGATGGCTTTGATTTGAGTACTCAGGTGCAAATAAAGAACTCCCATGAAAGCTACTGCCTCTTAGCGCCTTGCTACAGATTCAGCTGAAAACAAGTACTTAACACGTGAAAGAACTGAATCATGAGCTGGATCATATGGATGATTCTTGGAGGGAATCTCCAAGATTGCTGGAATAGGCTTATCGTAGCTATCTACAAGAAACCTTATCATATTCGCAACCTGGAACCATAAGGAAAAGGAGAAAGAAAAGAAATCAGTTTGTGATGTTTGCGGTAATGATATGATTAGTTTACTAGTACATATTAGAATTGGAGTCATTGTGGATCACTAGAATACATTTCCAATGAAATAGTCAAAAACTCTGAACCATACAAGAAACTGAAAGAAACCTTCAATTAACAAATCATTATCTCTTGGGATCAAACTTTAACAGTGCTAGAAGTTTTTTATGGTAAATTTCTAATTAATTTGGAGAGGACTCGCAAAGAAATATTTTCGTGAAAGAACTGTGAATGTAGAATTAACTCAGGAATCTGTAGGCTTAAGTATGCCTGTTTAGTTTGACATATTCAAGTATAAAATTACAGGGCAAAGCAATGTGAAAATATTGCTTATAATAAAGAACTATTATACAGATCAACAGCATCATGTGAACACATAACTGTTAATATCAAATATTTTTCACTGCTTACGTTTCCATCAATCTACTCATGCAATGCCCAACATCACTTGATTTTATGCCACAAGCATATAAATCAAATCACACATGGGCCAGATCCAAGTCTAGGTGAGCTCATCCGTAAGCTAAACACTGGCTCACCAGTATCGACAATTTGGTCAACAATCAGTTCTATATTTGTTATGTCTTATTAATCTGAAGTACACAGCAGTTTAGTTAACTAAGTCAGCCGGCTTCATTTTGATGTAAAGTCACAAACAATCAAACATCACACTACTACGTTTGGATACAAAAGAGAGCAGGGGAGGGGAATGCTTGTATTAATCCCAAAGGGATAGGGTGGAAAGGAAAAGGATGTGATGAAACTAATTGTGTTTGGATAGACAACTAGGGGAAGAGAGGGGTCCAGGAAGGGAGGGAAACTACAAAACAAATATTGACTGAAGTCTCGGGATGATCTTGGAATTTTAAGGAAATATCACTTAAAATTCAATCCCTCCCCTCCCAATCCGTCAATTTTAGGAGGGTTAAGAAAGGGAGGAAACTAACTTTTTTTTTAAACCTCCCAATCCTCCCCCTCATTAGCTAAAAATTATAAAAAACAACATAACTTTAGGGTGGTTAGCATTATATCCTTCCCAAATCCTCCCTTCCCCTCTTAACAAAAACTATTCAAACTCGCCCATTATTATGTTTCCCACAGCACATTCTAAACCCAAGCTCAAAAGCATACTTACTAGTTTGACTAGTTTATTATGAAAAAACATAAAATTATGAGCAGAAATATTCTAAGCAGCGCGGAGATGAATAGTACACATGATGATGAAGGGATAAAATATGATGCATCAAAACACCTTCCCCTCTTAACAAAAACTATTCAAACTCACCCATTATTATGTTTCCCACAGCACATTCTAAACCCAAGCTCAAAAGCATACTTACTAGTTTGACTAGTTTATTATGAAAAAACATAAAATTATGAGCAGAAATATTCTAAGCAGCGCGGAGATGAATAGTACACATGATGATGAAGGGATAAAATATGATGCATCAAAATATTAAAAAGAGCTTACATATTGGCTTATCAGCACAATGGCGATGTCGTCCTTTGAGGTGAATTCCCTGAATGCATCCTCAATTGTTTTCATTGCTGTTTCTGGAAAAAGGAAACCCATGGCATTAATGAGGAAAGCAAAGGTATATCTCAAATATGGAAGAATGATCAGCTCCATGAAGATATCCGGCTCCGCATGATGGTAATATAAAGAGCTTAATATCTAAATGAGGAAAAGCTATTACACTAGTAGGATAATTCAAGTTATTAAAATAACAAACATGTGATGCAGGAAATAAACAAAAAGATAGATGATGGTCTGAGAAAGAGGATTGATATTAGTTTATATAGCTTCTTGGTTGATTTATAGACGAAGAATGCAGAAGAATATAACGCGGGCTACATAATTACAGAGTAAGCCATAGCATAGGGAGGAAGCATAATTTTGTTTATAACATATTTCAAGGAAATACAAACACATGTTTATACTCTATAATAGATTAAACAAGATAAAGGTCATTCTAAGTTTGTGCATAATGTCTCATGCCCTAGGACATTAAAAGATAATGCTGACAGTAAACTATCCATAAGAGAGCAAAATATAGAAAAAATAATATATGAAGATATCAAGAGATTACTTGAGTCCACAATAAGGTAGTTTGTTTTCCTTCGTAGATCAACATTACCAACTCCAGCCATCAAAAATCCAGTTATCGTATCCTGATAAACCAACAAAAATAGCATCAATGTTGACAAATCTCTCCTACAAGAAATAAAAAAAATGCTGCAAACTTGTTACAAATCATGTCAGATTCTTTTAAAACCTTAATCATAATTCTAGTTCTCAAGATGAAAGCATAGCCCAAATTTTATAACATGACTTTGATCCTGCTAGAATATAGTATTATAACCCTTAATTCCCCCACAACTCCGGAGTTTTGATGTAATGTTAGAGGGACTTTAAAAGCCCCAACATCATGCTCGCACACATACAACACAACAACAACAACCAAGCCTTTATCCCAAATGTTTGGGGTCGACTACATGAATCCTATTTTTCCATTCCATTCTGCTGCGGGTCATTTCCTCCGTTACGTTAGTCTTAATCATATCCTTCAACAGATTTTATAATTAGTTTATAAGGATTTTAAAACAATATTTAGTGGATTTACGATCGATTGTCGAAGTTTATTTTGTATTAAACATTCAAAATGATTTGGTGTTTTGTAATTGTTTACATTAACTGAATAAATTTGTGAAAATCTTTTTTGCTAATTTGAAGTTGAAATTAGTTTAATTACATGTAGACAATTCTATTTCTGAGCTTTCTGAAATTCATATCATAATCTGCCAAACCTGAATTGATAGAAAAAAATTAGGTGATGTTTTCAGAGTTTCACTTCTAAATGTTGTTGCACATTTGTAGACAAATATCTATAATTCCACCATTTTGCAGATAACATTCTAGCTATACGATTCTCATGGCCTACTGCTGCCATAAAATCAACCAAGTAGATTCATTAACGTACTACAATCAAGCAAACCATGAAAATCATGCACCATCTCATTGCCCGATTTTGAAACAACCTCTCGGTGGATTACTTGCTTTACATTTTATTTATTTTAGACAGCTGAAATTAAGAGGGTGTAAGGACATTTATTCTTGTGCCCGCAAAATACCCTAAAAATTAATTGGTACAAATTTATGTTTATCACAATCAAGACCCCCCTTATAGCACTTCAAGAGTTCAAGCTCTGGTATATATGAATGAAGAAAATTCATTTACAAACTAAGGCAATTGCAGCAGAAATTTTTAGCAAAACAGACACCCATTAAGCTCAAGTTGAGTTAGATACTAAGTTCCTCACTATTACTAAAAGGTAGTGGATTTAGATCCCCACTATAACTTTCAATCTTGACTGTCTATTGTTAAGTGGACGATAATTGTAATTCATCCGTAAATTTTTTTGTACTCATTCCCACTTTTCACTAAAAATGAATAATAAACGTTTAATAATAAGTAATTATTATTAAAAGTTGTGGTTTGTCCGTTACTTTTTGCTAATAGAGAGAATCCAAATCCTAAGTCTATTGAAGGTGAGAACCTTGCAAGCGAAAAAAGATATGCTAATACCCAAGAACACAAGAAAGCACCCAGTGCACCCAATCCATACCATTAATGGGGCACCAGCGACATATCAACAATTTGATCCAAACATTAGTATCTCCTTGATGCAGCACTAATGTAATGAATCAGGTGCATGTGATATCTTTTTTAAGAGTAAACACATATACACTATTAGGCATACCCATTTGCTATAGGAGACATAAGTCATTAAAATCTGGAAAAATTGCAATTGCAAGCCTAAAACACTCCCCCCCCAAAAAAAATTAATAACAAGTAGATCTTCTTTTATCATGAAATTTCTCTAAGCATTCTTGCCCACGACAAACTATTTTGCTCTCTTGAAGCCATCTCTCCTTATATTTAAAAAGATAGTATCTTTTATTCTTCTCCTCAAAGATACATCATCTTAGATGAAACTTCAACCAAATTCCATCATTTAACACGTGCTCAAAGATGGATGTGTAAATTACTCTATGAAACCTAATCTTATATCTAAAACAAAAAACTTTAATTGAGTCTTGGGTCGAAAATGACTAATTAAACACCTCACGACTCTTTTTAGCTTACCCATCAAGCACTTGAATCAAATTATTCCCCACTGAAGACTGTTGATAAGTGAAAATTTGTACCCATAATCATAGTTCCAATTTGCAAGGTAACAGATAGCAGTAGAAAAAAGATCGATCTTTTTTGGAAAAAGGACTTAAGAGCAAAGTGAATGGAAGTATTTTACAAAAGGTAGCTCTTTTGGAAATTACGGTTACAAAAAGTCTATGTTGCAAACAAGACTAATAGTTATAGACACAATAATAAGTTCATACTGCAAATAACAACAGTTGGAGCAATAATTTTCTACAAACCGAATATGCACTACCTAAGTGGATTTGGATCATCTCCATTACTTAAAAAATAGTTGAAACACCGCTACTCTTAATCATGATCATCTATTATTAAGTGGGTGAATGTAATTCATTCCTATTTTGTGTTGTTCCCTACTTAGTTTTTGCATAAATGAGTAGCAGACATCACTTAGAAAATAAAAATTTATGATTAAAAATAGTGATCTCTCCCCAATTTTTTGGAAGTACAGAGATTGCAAACCTATGTCTACCGGATGTGAGATCCTTCTAGCCAAAAAGATGTGCTAATACCCAAGAGCACAAGAAAGTATCCAGTGTACGCAATTCATAGCATTAATAATGCACCAAAGGGATATCAGAGCTCAGATCCAAGTGTCAACATCCTTTTGATGCACCATTAATGCAATGGATCATGTGCACTTGTTACTTTCTCCAAGAACACACTCAAACACAAATGGCCAATGTACGCATTTGATGGAGGAGGCATAAGCAGTTAGATCCCAAAACAATAGCAACTGCTGCCTATTCTACTTACCAAAAAAGTTAACCAATAATTAAATCATATTCTTAAATGTTTCACACTATTTCAAATTAATCAGAAATTTAAAAAAATAAGATTAAGGATTAGGGTTAGAGGAACTATTAACTCCTCAGAGACCAACAGCCCAAATATGAGGATTTTTTTTTTGGCAAAATATAGCTTAATTGTTTGGTTGATGCCCAAAAAAATTGGGCTCACAAATCAACAGCTAAACAACGATCAAAACATATTCTTGAATATTTTACACTAATTCTAATTAATCATAAATAAACAAACCAAAATCAAGAACTAGGGTTCACAAATCAAAAGTCACCGCCTCCACCTGATTTCAGGTAGTTAAACAAAAAAACCTAAGAAGTATATCAAGAAGGAAAAAAAAAGCTAACTTTGACAAGAAAAGAGTAGAGATCTCGTTTATTGTTACCTCGTCGGCGATCATGGCGATGAGAGCAGAGTTGTTGGTTTGAATCTGAGCTCTACCCGCCATAGTTATTGTACAATACCTACAATTTGATATAAGAGATGAATTTATTGCGGATCTTAAATGGATCGAGATCCGAAATCAAGCGGGATCCAATGTGTTACCTTTGATTTTTAAAGAGAGAGAGAAGGGAGAAGAGGGAGGGTTTTCACTGGGCGTCGATAATATGTACTTTACGTAGGCAGATGATGTGCTTAGACTAAAAATAGGCCCATATAAGGCCTGGTAACAGTTTAATGGGTGGTCAACATTTTGGGCCCAGAGTTTTCAAAGCAGAATTTATTTGTACAGCTCAATTTATAATTCTTATGAAGTAAAACACCATCATGAATTTTAAGATAAAAACAGTAAACTAGTATGAAATTTAAAGTTATTTTCGGATAATAAGCAGAGGCTTTCATCCGTATCATAAAACTATCATATACCTTTTGTGTTAAAATTTCAACGTTTATAATATTTTTCTTTGGTAAAAGTTGTTTAATAAAAATTATTGTCCATGTCTTCTATTCACTGGAAAGAAGCAAGACCCAGGGGAAAAAAATAGGATAATCAATAACGAAGAAGATAAAACAGCGCATCTCTAATAATTAAGCGTCATTTATTACATTCTGCAACAAATGACGATTGTTATATTAGGCGGCGTTTGGTTCATGATGGGACTGTGCCTAGGATTTAGAGATTTAGATTGGGATTGAGCAGGGTCGGCCCCGAACTTTGGGTTGCCCTAGCCCAATCCAATTTTGGTTGCCCCTTATATTAAAATTTGGTATGAACAATAACGATAAAAATGAATACATATAATACAATTTAACATTCCATATTGGGCTCAAACTAAAAATATTCTCATGCAAAATCAATATATGAAATCACAATCAACTAAACTTAGCAATATCAACGAAGGCTAAATATATCATTGTTCATAACCCCCTTCACTCATATGAAAACAGTATGAAAGACAAAAAGGTTGGCTCCTACTTATAATCTTCTCCTTCATATAAATATATGTGCTCATCTCATCAATAACAACTGTATGTCTTTCTAAAGTTGACTCCTATTTAGTGCTGCATTTATCAGCCCATATCTGTAAGATTTTGACTGTTATGATTTTTCTTAAGAGAAATGTATTGTAAAATGCATGAGGGGTGTAGCTGAGAATAGCACAATATTCATTCTTAAACTCCCAATTATCCACCAAAATTACACCATCATATACCCAGAATCAGATATGTGTATACATCTCCTTAAGTATTCAACTGAAATTAAGGTATTCCTATCACCAAATATTTGGGCCCTTCAAAGAACAGCACAATGAATTACACAACCTGAAATCAGTAACAACTGGTGCATGAAAACTACATCAAAATATCTCTTTGATAAAAGAGCTCTAATGTTCCAAGAAAAGTTGTACTATAAATCAGTTCGGCCTACAGATTAACAACACATCAAGAACACTGAAACGGGCCTTTAAATCTCCAATATGCTTCTAATCTGATCTGGTGAATGCAAGATCAGTGATTATTCCATAGAGAAGCTCATATGCTCCTGAAAGAGCCCTAGAAACAAACCCTAATTTCATTATTAATAAAACAAACCCTAATTTCATTCCAAAACATCATAACCCCTAATTTAATTCTTCAACAACTAAGATTCAACCAAGATTCAAAATCAAAAATCTTAATTTCATTGCAAAACATTAAAACCCCAAATTTCTGTCTAAAAAAACCTTAAAATTATTTAGTTAAAAATTTTCACCTGATGGGGTGAAGCCTGAAGGATGGGTCTGACGGGAGCGGAGTAAGGTCGTCGGAGGCTCGCCGGCTCGGGAAGGAGGACCGGAGGAGAGGAGGGTTTTCTCTCTTTCTTATTTTTTTTTTTTTTTTTTGAGGGAACAGAGACGAGAAATTGGGAATGAGTGCTGAGGGAAATAAAGGTTGGGAAGGGTCATTAGAGTTCTTTTACAAATACAACCCCTAACATTTTTTGCATAAAAACCCTCTTACAAAGTCTACTTAAAAAATCAAAGATAATTACAGTTTGAGGGATATACGAGCGGCCGGGATGGGTTGCCCCCCGGCCCTGGGTTGCCCCAGCCCCGGGGCTTAGTGGGCTTACCCCAGGGCCGGCCCTGGGATTGAGATCAGATGGGACTATGATTAGAAGTCCTAGTCCCATGTCTGGTTAACAGTGCATCTCTAATGAGCGTCATTTCTTACGTTCTGCAACAAATGACAATTGTTATATTAGGCAACATTTGGTTCAAGATGGGACTAGGCCTAGGATTTAGGGATTAGATTAGGATTGGGATTAGAATTAGAAATCCTAGTCCCATTTTCGAAGATTGATCTCCGTTCTGGTTATTATCAGCTAAAGATCAAGCCAAAAGATGTGCCAAAAACTGTATTTTAAACTCGCTATGGTCATTTTGAATTTCTAGTATTACCATTCGGGCTCACAAATGCGCCTACCGCATTTATGGACCTTATGAAATAGGGTGTTTAAACCCTTCTTGGATCGATTTGTTGTGATATTTATTGATGATATCTTGATTTACCCACGAAGCAAAGTAGAACATGAAGAACACCTGAGATATGTACCAATGTTACATTAAACGTTGGGCGCTTCTAGACGTCGGACTTGGCGCCCAGCGCTTAGTCGTCTAGGCGGGCGCCTAAACGGTTTCTGGACGTTTTTTTTCTTTTTTATTTTTTTAATTGTGATAGTTGAAGATAAATATATATATACTCAATTAAAGATGCATAAATACTTAAAAATACCAACACTATTAACTAAATTGCTTGGTTTATCAATTACAATAGCTCTTTGTATGTTTATAATTCTCAACTCAAATTATAAGTTCATCTCAACAGTGAAAAACTCATTCTCAACTCAAATTACTGTTAACTTATAAGTTACTGTTAAGTTTAAGTTAACAATAAACTTAAACTTAAGTTTACTGTTAACTTAAGTTTACTATTAACTTAAGTTTACTGTTTACTTAAACTTAAGTTTACCATTAACAGAAAACTTAATATTAACTTAAACTTTAAACTTAAGTTTACTATTAGCTTAAACTTAAGTTTAACTTAAACTTAAATTTAAACTTAAGTTTACTGTTAATTTACACTTCTTAAGTTTAAGTTACTGTTGTTAACTAACTTAAATAGATATTTAAGAAGTACTCTTTATCTTGTTAGTAGTTATAGAGATCGGAGGAACTCGGCAATGTTACAGAAGGCGTTAGGCAGATTAGACGTTTGAGCGAACACCTAGCATCTAGACCCCTAAGCATACGCCTATGCAGCGCCTTTGACTATTTTTAAATTATTTAATTATAATAATTGATAAAAATATGTATTAAATTCATATAAATTTTCAAAAAAAGATAGCAATCTTAGTTTCACAATAAATCATGCATACTTAGATAATAAATAGCCAAAACAATAATTAACTAGGCTAGAGCCTAAGATGTTTTCTTTTTTTATTTTTAATTACAATAATTGATAGTGGATGTCAATGTTATAGAAAGCTTAGATGCCTAACTAGTGTCTAGGCGGATTTTTTCTTCATTTAAGTGGTGATCGATGAGTTTTTTCTGAAGGTCGGAAGAGGTAGTGGTGTTCATATTTAGATGTTAATGGAGTTTGGAGGACGTGTAGACTACAACACATAAAATCACAACCAATGCCTATATGGTGCAATCCACATAAGCAGCTAATGCTCCCCTAAACGCTCGTAAAATCTAGGTGGGCAGCCTAAATACCGCCTAGGCGCTAGGCGCTAGTTAGGCGGCCTAGGTACCGCCTAGGCCTAGGCGTACGCCTAAGCGGACTAGGCGGAGGTTTTTTAAAACAGTGTGTACTACAAACACTAAGTAGAGAAATTATATGCAAAATTTTAAAAATGTGAGTTTTGGTTGGAGAAAGTAACGTTCCTTGGACATGTAATCTCTAAGGAAGGGATTTCTGTAGACCCTGTAAAGATAAAAGCTATAATTAATTGGGACATGCCAACTAATGCGACGGAGGTCCGTAGTTTTCTTGGTATGGTTGGCTACTATAGAAAATTTGTAGAAGGATTTTCTCGTATTGCTTCACCTCTGACTCGTCTTACCCAGAAAGGGGTTAAATTCATCTGGTCAAATGAATGTGAGAAAAGCTTTCAAGAGTTAAAAAGTAGATTAGTGTCTGCTCCAATACTTGCATAACCCTTTGAAGATACAAGCTTTGCTATCTATATAGGGGTGAAAACGAATCAAATCTGAACGAATAGTGCCTTATTCAAATTCGAATTCGGCTCAAATACCACTATTCGTATTTGTGTTCGAATTCGACTCGAATAATATTCAGAATTCGAATTCGATTCATTTAGTTGTGTACATGTTTATTCACGAACATTTGATTAACAATATTTCACTTGCCACGGAGAAAAACATTGAGCCGAGTTATTAGGTAGTAAAGATGAGAGTTCACCTCTAATAATTAAATGAAGCTGATTGAAATTACAAATCCGCAAGGGCTGAGATCAGATTTTATGCAAAATTATATGTAAAAGGCATAAAGAAGTAATCTTTAGAAATTATTATAAATTAAAAATCAAGAATGATAGTAACTTTAAGCTTCATCTTACATTTTATGACTCGAGAAGGAAAACGGTCGAGGGAGGAGTAAACGACGATCTTCGAGGGCGACAAGCTTCAACGGATGACGAGCTTCGAGGGAGGAGTCGACGACGAGCTTCGAGGGAGGAGTCGACGACAAGATTCGAGGGACAACGAGATTCGAGAGAGGAGTGAACGACGAGCTTCGAGGGAGAACAGTGAAAATCCTAGCCGGCTAGCCCTGGAATCCACTTGGAGTCGGATCTGAAGGAGGAGAGAGGGAAGGGAGAGAGAGGAGAGAGGAGCCAGTCTGCTTGGCCAAGCAGATCTGAAAGAGGAGGCTGATAGAAGCAAACCTATTTATATGGATAACATTTGTAAATAAAAATTTAGATAAGTAATATTTGCGATAAGTTCAATTAATAGGCCTAAAATGTAAAAAGTTATCGAATAGTTAATGAACTACCTAATCGAACATACATTTGGTTAAATTCTAGTCATTTATAAGCCGAACACTGAAAATTATTTATTTAGTACTAAACGAACTATCGAATCGAACTTGATCGAATATCTGGACGAATAATAACTGAACTGTTTTTTAATTATTTGGTTTACTTCCACTCCTATCAGGACCCTCCATCATGATTCCAGCTAATGATTAGACATGCCAACTCCTAAAATCCCAATTTTACCCTTTCTCTTTCTCATGCCATCTCATCCCAGCTCATGTTAACTGTTATAGATAATATGTTAACTATTATAATTTCATTAATATGTTTTGAGCTCAACGTGTGTACTGTAATAGTTAACATGTATCCTATGTATTTTATATTTCTCCAGTATTCAGTTGTTTAGTTTTGTATAAGGATATGTTTGACCCAAACTTTATGTCTCGGATGTATTCCTTTTGTGATATGACATTTTTTTATTCTGAGTTGTTTATTATATTCTCGCTAACTATGATCGGGACATGTGCCTTTGCATTTATTTCTTGACGCCTAGCGTATTAGGTTGAGAAGAAAGGTTTATTCACGTTCCGATTCCCGGATATTTAGGAAGCAGGGCGTGACAGATTTTTTTTAGTTAACATGAGACACGAAGTTCCTCGGGACGGCGCCGACGACGGAACGAGGGAGGGAAGTGGGGGAGGGGAGGGGAGGGAGGCAGAGCTGGGGGGAGGCGAGGGAGGGGGCTAAGGGGGACCAGAGGAGGAGGAGGGAGGTGTAAGGGAGAGGGTAAAATCGAGATTTTAGAGGAGGTTGCATTGGAACTTGGAAAGGGGGTCTGGACATAATTTTTTCAAATTATAGGGACTGCAACATATTGGGGGAAGTTGTTTGGTGGGGGTGGTGGGGGGTGCTGGGCACATTAAAACTTGAATTTTGGGACCTTGAAGCAATTTTTACCTTTTTAAATGAGCCAGTAAGTTGCAAGCACCGTACGCCATACGATTCCATTCGTTTCTGCAAGCTATGAACTGATGATTAAGTGATGTTTAATCTAACGGAATGGATGTACATTTGCAGTACTTCAGGGCTGCATTGTCAAAGATTCAAGCTAAATCAGTTGACATTCGCAAAGACTCGAGTAATATTACAGTCCCCAAGTTTCGCGTAAATCTTTGACCATAGATGCAGTACTTTCTCATAGATACCATGCTCATCCAAGCCATGAAACTCCAATTGAAGCTTATTGCATGCTTCAACCCGTTCAAAGCTACAAAGCTTGAATCATTGAAGCAAACAGCAACGGTTTACTATGGAAATGCAACACAAATAAGGCATACAAATGTGATTTTATACCGGTCTCTCACGCATTACAATGTTTCAGCTAGTATTAGTTAGAACACCGAAACTTAGGTGAAAAGAGTTCATACTTACAACACGCGCACGATATCGTATGTAAATAAGCTCCGAATCAATACAAGTACATAATTGCATAAATAGAGGGCACATCTGTACATATAAGTCATACACTTTGTATGTATTTCTCACTTGCACTCCGAAGGTTATAGTCAGGTGTCCTGGAAGAGGTTGGTAGCTCGTGTCGATTGTTATTGTCTGATCTCTATTCTCGTGTAAATTAATTCTGAATTATATGTTACAATAAGAAGAATAAGCAATGTTCCCACAAAAATCAACAATGAAGAGCCCCATCCCCCTCCATCCCTCCCTCCTCTACTCTTCCTCCTGTCCTTAGGATGCTCTGTTTGGCCAATGCACTTGCAGGGCATGCTAAATTTTTTCGTAGCAACACCGAACAATGCATATGGAGAAGTCCACAGAGGTCAGCACCACACTCAGCTAGTTACTCTAGTTCTGCACAGTGACAAATTCATACATTTTCACCATCTAAGAAGGGGGAAAAAGGAAACATGTCATTCACCATAGAATTTGATAATATTATCTGAAGCTGTAAGAAACCAGGGTATTTATGGATAGTTGATGCAGAAATAAAACATTTACATTATGCTTGTGTTATCCAGTAGAATTATGTACTGTGACCATACAATCACTCCAATTGAATATAAGGACTAAGCAAAACAAAAGAAAGTGAAATAGTAGGTAAATCATCACACATTTTCCGTGTCTTGTTAGGTGCTCACTTACTACATTTCTCCAGGTGTACATCACACGGAGAAAATTGAAATGTAATTTCGAAACAGTTTCATTTGCTTCTATTATTCTTATTTTTTCCTTTTGTTCTCAGTCTACAGCCAATGGTTGTGCAAGCAAAGCATATGACTCACTGACAGAGCTCCATCAAGAAAAACATAGTGAGGTATTACGATTCCTAATAGTTAACAAAGACCGTTCTTTCGCGACCTAGAGGCACGATGTAGAAAGAGGGGCAGAGTTCAATTATTTAATCATCAGTCTTATTTAATCATCAGTCAGGTATTGTTTCTGCTGTAGGAATTGTAAGCCAGCTAACATAACCCATAATTCTAAAAGTATCACTTTTGTGGCCCAGATGAAATAATAGGCGGTAGATCATGTAAAAATCATGGTGATTAAATCACATGAATATTCTCATTCAGCAAAGCTACAATGAGCAGGTCACTCATTTTAGGTGGCAAACTCTTGCTCAAAGATGAAGGTACAGTCTTAAGAAGCAACTTACCTAAGTGAAAGCAACACAAAGTTGTGGATGTTTTACTTGATTATAACTATGTAAAGGTATAGAAAATTTGGATGTGCAATCTTTAGACTTCTTTGAAATAATGAAACAGAATATTTATCAGATTACTGATTATACACAATAGTGATCTCAGACTAACAAATTGTAGTCTTATCCATTAACAAACCAAACAATATTACAAGTGACCGTTATTGCATGTAGGAGATATTAGAAAATAAAGAAGTCTGCAGTAATTATGTTCAACCATACAATCAATGTGCAATATTTTCTGCAAAAGTTCTTGGATAAATTTAGTGAGGGTTCTCTTTGACTTGAGTTATTTCAATCTTATATTCTGACTCAACATAGGGCTATCATTCACTAATCACAAAAGAGTGACCTCATGTCAGACGATGAACATACAGATTTTTGAATAACAAGAGGTTAACCAGATGCAATGCAATTTCCTCTTAATTTACTTAAGCACCAGATTCAATTATAACCTGGGGATGTGCAAGGATCATATGAACACAAGCTTAGTAGGTCATTTTTTATTTGTGCATAAACAAGGCACCCACTTATGAACTTCTCGCCCTTAAGATAATAGCTTCTGGTGCAAGATATGCTACATGCTATACTAATTTTCTTATCTCAAAGATACTACACTAGCATTCCGTAAGCAATAAATGAAGTTGCAAAACGCATCAAATGCAGAATTATCACAGTAACAGCTTTAAAGTGCAAACTAGAAATAAGTTTGCAATGGCTGAAAAAGTAAAATAGTGGTTCAAGTAGAAATGATACCCAGTGATGCCACCCACAAGCAAAATGTTGATAATGAACTGTAAGAAACTGCTATTCAAATGGTTTATCCCACTGCAACACTTTTTGACCTTGAGTTGCGTGGAAGGCTACTCTTCCGGACATGAGGATTTTCTATTGAATATATCAAGATATTACCATCTTTAGTCCCTGCCAAGAAGCATTCTTCTGGAGTCACAGCCAATGACGTAATTATCTTTCCAATGCCATCATATCTATTTAGGACATCAAGTGAATGCATCGAGCAAACGACTACTTGTCCATGATCACCAGCACAAACTAGAAAATCTCCACAGGGACTAAGCTCAATACAGTTGAGGCGGCCATTTGATTCAGAAGAGGCAATGTGCTTCCCGTTAATGGAATACATATGGAGACTGAGATCACTGTCAGCATAAAGCACTAAGCGCCCATGCTTTGATGCTACTAGCTTTGATATGGCAGAACCACATGGATGTTGAATTGATCTTACGTATCTTCCCTCCCTAAGAGTATGGAAGACACAAGTACCATCTTTTGATCCACTGATGACTATGTCAAGCTCTAAACTAATAAACAAGCATGTAATGACATCATCATGGCCACAGAGAATATGGAAGGGGTTCCCAATAATGATATGATCTTTCCGAAAGAAATCGGCTTGTAAATTTCGAGATCTCTTCTCCAGTGACCTGTAAGTTCTCCATATCATGACGGTTGTGTCATAGCTTCCAGTAGCAAGTGTACTTCCATCAGATGTGACTACAACATAAATGAACTTCAATTAGGCAAAGATCCACTATACAAGTCAAATTTGCATTACTCATGTGATAGTTGTATGTGCTGGTAACCGTCACATGTCAAACCACAAAGCAAAATGAACATTTCTAATGAGGCCAAACCACCATGAGATGCACTCTGCCCCTTGTACAGGGATAGAGTCAACAAAATGATGTCATAGAATGGTAATTCCTGGAAATAAATATATCATGAAAATAAATGACAAGTTGTACTCATCTATTCTGCTCACATAAGGCTTTAACTTGTTCACTCTTATATTGTTGTTACTTTGCAAAGGGAATAGCAACTACTAACTGCTCTGCAAGAACTCGAGCAGAGATATAACCCAGCACTTTGTGCCCTACACATGTTTTCTTCTCTTTTTTTTGGGTTTTTTTTGTTTGGTGGTGGTGGTGGTTCTTTTTTCTTTTTTCTTATTTGTTTTGTTTTGTTGGTTTTTTTTTTTGGGTTGGGGGTGGGGGTGGGGG